CGAGGTGAGATTCAGCTCTGTATCACTTTCTTGGACTGGACAATTTCCGGGACACGCAGGAGAGGATGGAGGGCGAAGTGCAAAACCTGCGCGATCAGATCGAGGTGACATCTCATTCTGGATCAATTTCCAAGACTTTAAACAGGGTAAACTTGCTCTAAGGAGCTGAAGGGCAAGTTCCGGGACACACAGGAGAGGATGGAGGGCGAAGTGCAAAACTTGCGCGATCAGACCGAGGTGGGATGCGGACTGGGTCAAATTCTGCATTGAAAAACATTTGGTCTCTGCATGAATAAGCAATCGAAGGCCCAGGTCCGGATGGGACTTAGTATGTTCAGGTCGAAATTTGTGCCGGGCTTGGACCGTTTTTGAAACAGCAGAGATTGTTTTCAGTTCTTAAACGTAATGATTCGAGGGGTCGACGCGAGCTTGTCGTTGTCACTTCTGTGCCTGTCTTCGGCTGAGAGGGCTTCTTACTCGAGCCAACTTGCTGTGACCTCCCAGTACTGAAACCTTCAAAAGCACCCAGATAGTGTGCGGCGCTTCACTCAATCACACGTGATTTTCTTCTACAGAGTCTTCAAGCTTTGTTCTTGGCCAGGAATCATCCTTCTAACAGGTAGCTTCTTCCCGCAGGTCCTTACGGCAGCCATCATGTCCGAGGAGGAGAAGACACGTGTCCTGGCGGACCGCGCGAGCGGGAACGCGTTCTATGGCGTGCAGGACACCGCGCTCCCGCAGCTCGCGGCCAAAGTGCTGGAGGTGTACGTCCGCTGCGGCTTCGACAACGACGCGAGCGTCGGGACGCTGCAGATGCTTACGAACTTTGAGGTGGGCACTTTATCTTTTTCCGCTCATCCTAGTTCCTCTGTGACTTGCTCGTACGTAACACCATATCGACCTCATGTTACCGGTCCCGGTGTGGTTTGTACGACACTTGAAGGTCTGAACGAACACGTAGGTTCAACACGAGGTCCAGAAATCCATACCCATTGTGGCGTTGAAACCGAGGCCAGCGTGAGAATATTTACGTACTTCGAGGTCTGATTTTCGCTTCGCTCAGCCCTTTTGCTAACACTTTGCTTGAGGTTTTTACTTACGCGGCTACGCTGGCTGCGCGTCTGCTGGGTCTTTTTTCGGCTTCAGCCTTTCTTTGATCAGAGACTAGAATCACATGTTGCTCAACCTTGCTTGTGTCTTCTGACTTTTGCGCTTGGGTCGATAAACTCAGGATAGCACCATTGGTCAGGTCGCTTGATTCGTCGTGTCATACTCTCGGCGGGTTGATTGCTTTGATAAACTCGAAGCAAGAGGACTAAGCCCAGGATCTTAAGGAGATGGGGCAGCACGAGCAAAGGCCAGATGGCGCTATCTCACTTCGATTGGAAAGGGTACTTTAGTACCCACTTGATGATTTTGGGGAGGACTGTCACCGGCCTGTTCCACAAATAGCGCTGATCCCCAAACCATTTGCTGTCGGCAAAGAGCGAAAGTCCTCATGCAGCGTTCCCACGAGAAACAGATCAAACGGCTTGCCCGCTCACTACGTTCTTCAGAAAGCGACCATCGGATGACTAACTCCGGCCGATTTTCGCCACTACAGAACAAGCTGGAGGAGTACTTGGCGATCGCGGACACGATGCCGCCCAAGTTCGTGGAGGCGTCCGAAAAGGCGCGCGAGAAGGAGCGCCGGCAGAAGGCGCGCGAGGAGAAGATGGAGGCACAGAGGATCGAACAGGTGAGTGTACGCATGAGCTATGCTCGGCGATCAAAATAAATGGATGTCTCTTCACTTTTGCTAGCCTTTCGGTGCCGCTCAGGTATCGGCTTATGAGTCATACTAATCCTTCAAAAAGTCTTTCAGAAGCGTTTTTTGTCTTGACGCGGTCCTTTAGCTGGCCTTTGATAGTGGCGGTTGATCGGACAGAAACCCGCCTGTGAGTCGCATGTCCTTCAGATTTGCTGCCTCAGTTGAACGACACGTCGCTCGGTCTTATCTTCTGACCACTGACCATGCACCTGCAGCTTTCTACAAATGAAATGAGAAGCAAGGGTTACCCGATGTAGGTAATCGAGACCCGTCTCTGAAAGTAATTACCATTACCTGTTGGATCGTGCAGGAGCGGCGCGTTCAGCGCAGTTTGGACCGAGCGCAGGCGCCGGTGCACAAGAAAACCGGGAAGCCCGTAATGTTCCGGTCGCAGGTACTACAGAAGAAAAAGGTTTCCGACGACAAGGGCGTCCGGAAGACGGACGAAGACCAGGAGCTGGCCGCGTTTCTTGCGCGGGATGCCTGAGATGCGTCTGAAGCTCTCACGGATAGCTAGAGACGCGGTCACCCGAGCTGTTAGTAGTGTCAACGACGTCTAACACAATCAGTAATTGAACGGGCGGACATGCGGCCCAGAAGATTGTAAGGTGCATGTAATGATGGTCATGGAATATAAAGAGCCACTCGTCCCAACAACATCCTTCGATCATGCTTAACGCGGATAACGAAACTGTATGAGCAAATCTTTAGTATCCAGCGTGAGCATGAATTACTTCAAGAATTGAATGGTCAATGTTTAGCTCTGCCTCGTTTCAAACAGGGATTGCCAAGACCCGTCCGACGCCTTTCAAAGGTGTACGCAAATGTCTATTGATCACTCTTTACCTGGACGGCCTGGCACTGGATGGATCCGTCGGACATGTGGCCGCAGCCTTCAGATTCAAATCAAAATGGTTATAGTACTCAACACTGTACTGTACCTGTAACATACAGTCTCAATGCAGCTCTTAGTACTGAGCGCTTGTTTCTAACCACCTACCTATTTGCATCATTTCACAGTCAAGGTCAACGCTAGCTAGATTGCAACCCTTTCGTTTTGCGGATACTTCAGGGCTTATGTCGCTATGCCCACTTGTCTTTTCATGATAGAGCCATGCAGGGTCTGGGGTGCAAAGCAAACCTAGGTTAGTATTATCCTAACGAGTACCCAGGTCGAGAGTTTCACAGGAATTTTGTCCTCCGCCTACAACGTGCCTCAACAGAACGGTCCGCCAGAGACCGTCAGGCATCGCTTACAGTCTATCTACCGCTCAAACACGCCGGTAAAGGCTTTTGAATATTACGAGCCAAAGCGTTGGCACTCGTCAAGGGCCTCCTCAATGGACCGCTTAGCAAGCGTCGCAGCCGCATGGAAATCGGAGAAGTCCCGATAAATAAGGTCGGAGCGATCCATCATCAGCCGTAGCGTAGACACGTCAATCTCGTGCTCGCGTGCGGTCTCAAACTTGCCAACCTCGCTGAAGGGAAAATATGGGGTGGTATTAGACTTGAAACGTGCGAAACCAAGCCCGCTCTTCGCGCGTCATCTCCCTAACGTTCCTAAATCCGAAAGCCGAAAGCGATTTGTAAGCAAAGCGATGCACGGCGCGGTAGGGTTGCAAAAATCTGGGGTATTCCTGGACTCCTTCTGAGTAGAACGCTTGAGTCGAAGCCCGTAGATTGGGCAGCAGATATTGCAGCAGCTTATTAATAAGGACAATCGCTGAAGACCAGAATCGTTTGTTTCAAGGAAGCTTCGTGACTGGATTGAAGTCCGAATAGCCCGGGGTGTGGGAAGAAAGTCTGATATTGGCCTCTGAACATATACCGTTCCAGAGAGGACCATCTCGTGCGAAGGATGGCCGCTCGGAAGAACTTCCAAAGAGTTTCGCGACTTCACACCCCTGACCGGGAGTTGCACACGGTAAACCTAGCGGGAAGAAGCTTAGGAGAAGCGCTGTCCTGCTTCATGATCAAGCCAGTTCAACAAGCTGGATTACTGAGGTGCAACGAGAGCCACCTCACTTCATGAGCCTCTGTATCTCCATCCTCAGGTCGCTCATCAGCCCCTCGAAGGCCATGAGCGCCTCGATCAGCGGCTCCATCTGTTCCAACACCTCACGGAACTCGTCCGCCTCCTTGAGCTTTGCCTCGTTCAGCTTTCTGGCCGCGCGCTTTTTCGAGAGCATGACGATTGCGAGCACTGCGAAGATGAGCGAGAACGCGCCGCAGCCGCCCGCGGCGTCCGCGAGGATGACCGCGCTGACGCCCGCGACGCCGATGCCAATGCCGGCCAGCGCGGCAAAAGCGCCGGTCGCGCCCGTAGTAATACTCCCTGAAAAAGAGAGACTCAGAATGGTCTGCCTGGGAGGGATTCAGTTTGCATATCCTCATTCTCCGGAGGTTCATTGCAAGAGGTTTTGAAAAAGAACGGCGAAGCTCTCATCTTTGCAAAAGGGAGGATTGGTAAGCACGCTTCCAGTTCTGAGCATCTGTGCAGCTTCGCGAGTACACTGGTTGAATGGATGATATGCAACTCTAATGGGCTCAAAGAACGAGTCGAAGCGAAATAAGAAGGGATCTGGCAAAGGAAATTCTGGCTGTAACCTGATTACCAGACTCGAGTCTCAGGGTATTGGACAGATAACCGGGATGTAACCTTGTTTCAAGGCTGGTTACCGCCCAAGTCTGGCTACCGGACACTCAACCACTTTGAAACCAGCCCATAGCCAGCTCATAACCATGATGGTTATGGGCCAAAAACTCCTGTGTGGGAAGAAACAATAAGTCGATCGAATGAAGGGATGAATCAGTAAGATCCAGTCCACATTGCCGATCAAACCATTTCGAAGTAGGACACGTCGCAAACTTCATTGTTCCATTGTTAAAGTTGGTCAAGGCCTCTCAATCACACTCTCAAGTGCGGTGACCCTGAGCGGACATCTTAGAAAGTCCGAGAAACATGGCCTTCAAGAATCCGGAACGTAGGAAGATCAACCACGGCTCTTGATGCCAGGAATTTAGGTGTAGGCTTGATACCGACCAGCATTCTTATGATCTTTCAATCAGTGAAACGTGGTAGGGTACGGTAAGCATGCTAGTGCGCAATTGCTGACCTCCCATAGTCATCGTGGTCTCGACTCTGTCAAAGAACGTCGTGCGTCCCTTCTGCTTTCTTGCTTCTTTGAGAGTCTTCTTCAGTTTTGTATTGATGTCATCCTTGTTCGCTTGGGCCTGGATGAGACAAGATTCTCATTAGTCTGCTATGAACACTCCTTGCTGGAATATTGGGTTCGCGATTGAAGGGTTCTGAGTGAACGTCTGGAAAAGGGGAAAGAAGCAACTCGAGGCTCTATCCTGTCAAGAAAAAGCGTTCAGGCAGACTTCATACTGAAAGAGGTGAGATATGACCCCAGCAACTTGGTATTCAGGATAGCACGCACCTCAATCTACTTGCAATTCATCGATGCTAAGGTAGTACATGAACCAGTTTCCTGTAATTTAACCTAAGAGTTCCTTTTGAATAAGCAGGAAGAGGAGGCACTGACCTTGTCCTTCATCTCAACGCATATGTCTTTGAACCGGTCATTGGCCTGTTGATCCTCTTGCAGGCCCTGTGCGACCACGTTGAAGACCTCTCTGTTCTGGGTGTAGTGATAGCGGAAAGCCTCCATGTTATTTCCATCTCCCTTGGCGCGATGCAGAATAAGCATAACATTCTCGGCCTACATAAAGAAAAGACCTGAAAAAATTGAGTGCCCCTTTTGCTGAGGTAAAATATCACGCAGTTCAGGAGGCACTCTAGCAGGCTTCCCCAGAAGGAGGACTGGATGGAGCGTGAATCAACAGCAGGTATCACGAACCTGCTATGCGCCTGTTATTCCGAAAGCGTCACGAAGCCCGAATTGCAAAATCCTGCGATCTAGAGCGGGTGATTGTGTGTAGTGCCTTGTAAGTATCAAAGGGTTCTGGTTGCAAAGCAATTTGTCGACTTGTTTGCATACATGGTCGGTTCTATCAAAGACTCCAAGCTGAATGCATCATGGCACCTCAGAATGAAAATCATGTTGCTCTTAAGCAGACTCCCAAATTGCCTCCGAAAGAGACGGAAAGTGAAGCTGCAGATCTGACTCTGACGGGAGCTGATTTCTAATCTCCAAACCGAACTTTACAACCTCTCCACGATTCCTGGCAGATTCAAGTGGTGCCTTGTTAAAACAAGTGTCTATGTTCATGCTTTGCAAGCGTCTGACCTTCGCAATATGATCCAGTGATCTGTCCAGAACCTTTTCTTTGAATCCCGCACAGAAGATTGTGAAGTTAAGGTGGGTGTTTGTCACGTCAGCGCTGCTGGAGTTGGCTCCAAGCAGCCAATCCAGCCTTTAGGTGGCGGTCGAAGTCAGAGCTTCTGAGCTGTGCGCGTGCTCCTTGAAGGCTGCGGGCAAAGGGGTTTTCCAGAAGCTGACTGGGAGCAGGAAGTGGCCGGGTATCCAAACGCTGGCGGCCTGCTCGGTGCTCAAAATCAGGGGGAACGTATGGGACATACAAGGCCTGTTGCTGGTAGCTGCCATAGGGGTCTGGATTATCAGAGCCAGCTGGTTTTTGCCAATCCGCCATGGCTGGAAGTGCCGAAAGTTGGTGGCTCGCTTTCGCCGCTCTGCTGTTGGAAGGTTCCAACTCCGAGGAATGTTTTGCTATGCGAAAGGGTGAAAAAATATTATCTAACATCCTCAAGAATGACATTCAGTTTCACGGCTGGTGTGGACCTCGCAGCACCGTATTGGAGCTTGATCGCACATTAGTCCAGTGGCTACGAACACGCTCAACCAGTCACGTCAAGAAGCGGCGTGACCAACTGACTTCGATGGGGAACCCCTTCCATCCACGCCTCCCGGGTCCTTCTTTCAGGCTGTCAATGTTGTCAGATTGACAAGATCAATCATTGTGTCTGACGTACTTGTCACTGAGCCGGAATGATATGATCGTGGGCCAATCATAATCTCTTGTTACCTTGTCGATCAATCAATCAGTGCTCAACCCAATATAGAAGCTCAGATCCATCTTTTCCGATCTTTTGGGAAGACATGACCTCAATTTTACCTCGGCTCGCTCCATCAAAGCGTTGCTACAAAGCTCGTGGATCGAATTATCGCTTGAAAGCCTTTTGACAGAATTTCAAACTGAAGTCACCGAGGAAAGCATATCAGTTTGCTGTTTCTTGATCTGCGCCCTATCCACTCTTCGATCTGAACTGCCGGGAACGATTCCAGAAACACAAAGAAGTCAATGACTATTGTCAGAAGCGGCTCTCTAGTACCTGTTCAGGAACTACAAATTAATAAGGTGTTAAACGATAAGGCGTCCGGCAATCGGACCAAGATCAGGAGCTGGCCGCGTTCCTTGGGCGCATTGCCTGAATGGCGTCCGGCCTTCGATCATGCATTGACAGCCAAGTACGCGTCCTTTAATCTTTGAACTAAAGCTTGGACCGCGCGACTCGCCTGCATCGACAATGGGAACGGTGGGTGACGCGTCCATGGAACCTTCTCAAACCTGGCGCATACATGGAAATTGTCTTCATCAATGTGACGGCATCTATCAGCCGAAGTGTCGTCCAAAAGGATGAAGGGGAGCCGCCTCGTTTCCGAAGTTCCTTGATACTTATAACGACGTGTCAAGTTTGTTACGTATATATTTTCAACATCATGCTCACTCCGTATGGCGAGACTGCATAAGCAGATTCTGATCATACTCTACGAGTCGAAGCTGTCATGCTTGATGTACAAGCCGTGGTTCAATCCAGGCCAGCGCCCAGCTCTGTCGGAATAAAGAGGCACGACCGTCCTGTCAAATCTGCTCAACTCAAAGGTGGATTAGTGCAGAAGCCGCAATCTGTATTACGTATGATCGTTTGTGCATTTGCGGACCATCAGTGAAGGACCTGAGGCTGCCGGGCCTTCAGTACTGTTAGAAGTCACCCTCATGCTAGAGTTCCTCTTTCGCTTACAAACCCACTTTGTTGGCAAACTGACGACTCCAAATCATGGAGAAAGTGGCAGTATTGGTAGTATAAGGCATACGCAATCTATTCCCGGCGTAACTCCATTCAACGTACTTACATACCCAGATGGCATATCCGAATCTGCATAGGATGGCACTACTCTAGATTGCAAAAGATGCTCTAGCTCGACCTCGTAATATATCCTGGCCTAAGTCCTGACCTATCTTTAAGCCGCCGACAGATAGATGAGACCAGTTAATCATATCTTCGGATCAGGCTGGTTGCATTGCTTCTTGTGACTTGGCCAGTGCAATTTCTGATGCTCCTTGCTGCACCAAAAGAAACGAAGTGTTGAAGTCATAAGTTGGCGATGATTTACCACAGAGAATCGTCGAGGGCAAGATCAAGACCCTTCGCGGAACCATGGCTCGAAGTACTTTACGGGGCACAGACTCAACGGATTAGCTGGGACAGACAAGACGTCTCACATAAAATGGTCCCAGCTTTTCGATGCAATGTAAGATCCCCGATGAGTTGCGCAGTATAATATCATTCCTAAGGCAGAACGGAACAAATCAAACAGGCCTGGGGAAGGTCTTCTGCCGATCCATCTCCCTTTCCCCAACCATGCATATCTGTCTCATATCTGATCCACTCCGATGCAGTGTTTGCTTACCTGCAGTAGTACGCGAGTGAGCACTTGGAGCACTTGCTGAACATTCTTCCCGCGTCGACTACCGACCCCTCCTCGCATAGCTCCCACGAGCACACAATTGGCGTCTCTGTTCGCCCGCTTGCCCAAGCAGCCAAGGACTTGACAGATTTTGAGGGTTTCTCAAGGTCAAGGCTGCGGGAAGTAGAGTCTGCTCGACCTACTGAGACGTTATGCAGCGGTCTGACGGCTGCCTCAATTTCAATACGCGCTTTGCACCATTCTAGATACTTGCTTCGCGTTTCGGTAGCGCTTGCAGAGCTCTCTGGATGTCTCAGTTTTGTATCGAAGTCAAGCAGCTCTTGCTCTGTGGCCTCCAATATTGCCAGTCTTTCCTCGGGACTCATCCGTGCTAGATGCCTTGTTAGGTCATAGCGTTCATACCGAACACGATTCATGTGTCGCATTATTTTCCTGGTGAGTCCCAGCTGAATCTTTATCAGCCCCTGATCGATGGCCCACTGCTGGCTGTCCTCGAACAGGATGAACGTGTAAATTAGACGATTGACTACCGGTACAGGCTCTGCAACGCTGTCTCGAGGAAGAGTCTTTTCAAATTCCTCTGACACAAGGTGTTCAATTGCTTGGAAAAGATGCTTTCCAGACTCCTGCAAGCCCGCCCGAAAGTGTCTCGAAAGGCGCGCAAGATTGACGAGACCTCGTATGCTGGTATATGTCCATGTGATCCAGACAATGTAATCTGACTTGCGGCTTTTTGAAGCAGAAAGCATCATCATAGTTCGACGGAGAGCCTCCAAAAGTGCCCGAGCGAGCGCGCGATCATTTGTCTCAGAGCCACTCAAACAAAAGCTGGCCACTGCTTGACTTTCAGTCAGAATTGACAGCGCTAGGACTGAATCAAATTCCACAGAATGGTGACTTTGAAGGGACCTCCTTGGAGTGTTGAGTCGAAGAACCCGGTCCAAGTGCCTCTGAACCAGGGCGCCACGCTTGTAAGCCAGAAGCTCTTGAAGCAGCCTGGAATATCTGAGCCTGGAAGAAGGGTCCCCATCATTGTGAGCTTCAACCCTTCGCACATTCATGCTCCCACAGGCGTTAAACACGACGCTTTTGTCGTAAGAGGAGAGCTTCGAGGCATAGTCGTTGACCAGCCCTTCCATGAAGACAGACTGAACGCCTGCGTGTTCAGCTCTCTGTTTTTCCATGTAAGACTCAAAACTGATGATTGATCTGCTTGGCTCCTCTAGTAAAGCATCTGCCAGGCCGCTCCCTCCTCATCAAAGAAGTGCGCATGCTTTCAAAAGGAAAACGTATGACAGCAGCAATCTGGGGTGTGTCGGGGGGTGTATCGGCTCCTTTCACGTACAAAGTGTCTAGATAGGCGTCACCACTTCTGTTCCGCGGGAGGATCTCCTTCCACCTTCCTAAGTTCCTCCCTTGTGCATGCGGACGAACTCGCTGATGCTGTCTGTGTGTCTCTGCTGAGAAACCTCGGCATTCAACATGCGCTTCGACAAATAGTACGAGCGTCGTCTTTTAAAGAAGTCATTGTCAGCTGCATGAAGAAGAAGCATGCACTGAAGAACGATAATTCGGGCGCTTGGTGTGTTGACATCAGTGTCAGTGACTGGATGCTGCCGCAGCAACGGCCGCGCGCGGGCCGTCCGGCATGCGGCCGCGACTGAACCCGCGTGACTCATCAATAAAGTCTACTTGCGCGCGCGCGCCGCGCAAGTTAAGAGTCGACTTCACCAGCGCCAAATGAAGCCGTGCATTCCTGCATTAGGGTTTAGAGGGCGGTGCAGTTGTGGACGGCAGCAATCCGGGTCATGGAAGAGCAGTTTGCCCATTTGGAAGGGCTGTCTGTCTTCAGGAAAATGATATTCAAGGAAGGAAAGACAAGGCGAATTGGATTGAGATTGGCTGATGTGAATCCAGAATCTCCATAAGTATATTGATTGTCAGAATGCAAAGCAGCTTCAAATCGCAACTTGTTCGCAACCGATGCATTGTGACCCAACGTGTGCATGAGGCAGAAGGCCAGGTTTTGAACATAGAAACGTATTTCAGACAAATTGATTTACTAGAGATGTACATGCACTTGGTAAAATAAGCCACATGGCCTCTTTAAGACACCGCCTATAAGCAGGCACCTATACATCTATGGAGCCAGGCAAAGGAGGCACCAATGGTGAGGGGAGAGACAGATCCGAGGATGTTGCTGGAATCAGATTGGAGGGGGGCGTGGGTCTGGAACAGAAAGAGTTTTCAATACCATCCGTGTCGTCGACAATAGCCAAGAAGTAAGTGCTATGCTTGCGCAATGCTGTTGCAATTCTGCAGAGATTGACACTTCTTAAGTAGCACTGAGTCAGCCTTTCTTGCTGAGAATGTGCTCGTGCTTTGGCATCACACGTCAAATGACAGGTATGCTTTCTGAGTTGGGGCTGAGCCTATCAATCTTACACACAAGTCAGCTACTGCAGTTTAAGAAGTTACTGTATGCTTAGCTGTCGTTCCGGGACTAAGTTTTGGAATCAGAGACCAGCGTGATAAGATTGTCTGGTTCCGTTGTTCTGCTGTGGGTCAGGCAGCTATGCATGGCACAACCTATGCTCGAGTCCGCAGCCGTGACACAAAACTCCCGTCTTTAATTTGGATTTTGAGGAAGTACAGCTCTAGCAAAAGAATTGCCTGCTCACTTCTGTTTTTGCTCAGTTGCTTTCTTGCCATACAGCAGAAAGAGGTTGGCCCGAGCCTGGCCCAATATCGCTTCAATCGTGGTGGCATCCAGCCGTCGCACACACTTTTTGACATACCCACCCAATGATCGATATGAGGTTATCTCAGAGCGGAGTTTGAAAAAAGATGGCGTGCAATTGCAATGATTATAAGGAAATCAAGACAATGTATTTGGGGAGGTGACAAAGCCGGTAGATTCGTCAATTCTTGTGCTGCTGATTTGCAGGAAGCCCTTGGACCTGACCCTAGTTGTGGCTGTCTTTGCCGGGTGGCTCGTCGGTCGCCTGCAGCTCCCAGTTCTCCTTCTATGTCTCCTACTGGTGCGTCAGCTGCCCCCGCTTCGCTACACTAATCAGCAAGGGAGATCAGTCTCGAAGATGCACTGTAGTCCTAGTACAGACTGTTCCGCAAAGTTGTCACAGTCTAACCACAAACTGACCGCGGGATCGTCAGCCTGCCAATCACTTGAAGATAGCCAGAGAGTTAGTCAGAGGCCCCACGAAGTGAGGAAAGCAACGTTCTGATGCCTAGTGTGAACAGCACTGTAAACCGCGGCATGAGGAATAATCAGTCGGTACCTTATCTTGCCAGTGTGGCTGGGCCCTGTTGTACCCGCAAAGCTCGTCTTTGTCAACCTTCAATCTTGAGGGCCGCAATATTCCTTCTCCCTGTTTGCAACCTTGACGTCAGCGGTCAGATGACGTCATTTAGGGGCTTTCTGTTGCCAAGGCCGCTTTTCACTCTGGAGCCGGTTGTGTCGTCAACAAGCCCCATCGAATGCTCGAACCGGTCATCGTCTTTTCGTTCGCAGTACTTAGCGTGGCATCAACAACGCCGCAAAAGTTCGTCGGGCCCGGAGGAGCTCCCCCCGTCACCGAGACCGCGGAAGCTGCCAAAGGTGAGTGTCGAACGGGAGCACGTGAACGGGTCTGCAACTTCTATCACAAGATCACCCGTTTGAATGCTTAACAAATGTCTCATAAAGAACGGAGACCGTCCCTTCAAGGCTGACCGGATCTCTTGATACAATGCCCGTTGCGACTTCCTCCAAACCAAGTGGTTTGCAGGCTCGTTGAGAGGTGGTACTCAGGGCAAGTACCAAAACACTCATCAACCGTGTTTGCTGCTATTAGGATGGGAGTCGACGCCAGGTCGTAAGCTCCATTAATCCCATGTTCTGACCTCCTGGGGATCGTGTCTGCAGGGAGCACCCCGCAACGGCCCGTCCACTGCGCTCGACTTTGAAGAGTGCGAGTGGCTGAGCCAAGTGCTGGGACAGGTGACATCGCCTCGACGGATTTTGAAGGCATCTTCGTCGATTATCACGAATGTCTGAGTTCCTAATTATGTGTGACCACCTTTCGCACCTGTGAAACTCATTACTCCGCAAGTGCAGATTGATCCTCCGTGAAGCGTTTCTCAGTACACCCCACCTTTGAGGTTCCTTCAATACAGGTGCCGGTTTCTACTTGCAGAAAAATTCTCTGCTTCTAAGCGGCACGGACTGAATGCATTGTCAGTCTTAACACTCGTCGACAACAGCACAGCGCAGGGAAAAGCTTGAGAAAGGCGGGCCCCTTTGTCGCAGAGCCGTTAAACCCGAGTTTTGATACTGGAAAATCGCCAACAGGATGCTGATGAAGTTGGTGATGATCAGGGTGGTGTTTGGAGCGATCTGAAAGACGACCTCTGGAAGTAATGCCGGCCTACTGATGTCGCCCTTGACCTCGGACGCAGGTCTGGGCTTTTTACCGCCCTGCCTGGTCGAACTGGGTCACCGAGTCCCTGACCACAAGCCTAAACTGGTGAGCGCGGGTCTGAAATGTTTGACCGTCTTATAAAGAAGGACCTTTGTCACGAAGACTTTCTTTTTCAGTATCTCGAACTTCTGAGTTGACGGTCATGAACTCGAGAGGACTTGAGATCTTGTTGAGGAAGGACTCGACGGAACTGTGCGGTCGATCGGGAAGAGGTGGCCAAACTCCCCTTGCGCAACCCGGTCAAGGAATTCAACCAATCGTTACTTTCACACTAGACCCACCATCAACCATTGAGGCGAGTATTCAACGGGGGGTTTCGCTTTGACGAGAGAGTTTTGACAAGCAACTTAGGTATTCGTGCTCGAATGCTGACATCCGTCATGCTCTTCTACCAGGTACAAACCGGACTTCATCCAAGACTTCAGGTACGATTCTTCTGAAGCCTGCTCATCGTCCTGCCTGCTTTCCCTCCTAGTTTAATCCGGCAATATCCGAGTCTCTCACTGACTACTAGCCGCAGAGAATTCCAGCTTTTGTCTCGTGCTTTCATTGCCCAATCCTTGATCTGCGCTCAGAGACTGCACCCCCTGTTTAAGCAGCCGTTCTGAATTCGTCTCTGATAATCAAGGCGCCCATTCCGCCAAAAGATATAGCAGATTCTAGAAGGCTAGGAGATGTGTTTGTAACGAATTAGTCTACTCAGCTTCAGCCGCGGCATGTGCAGGATCGAGGAAGTCGACCTGGGCCAACAGCCCCGCTTCGAACTCATCAAGCGTCACGCCGGCTTGCCCTCAAACATCATCCAGGTGAGCTTCGTGACACCACGGTTTCGTACAGATCCGGACTATGTCTTTCCGACAGCCTTTTGATTGGACCCGCCGTGAAATCCCAGGCTTGCACTCAAGTAGCTCTGCATAGGTACACGGGTCCGCTGAAGGTTCTTGTGGCTTTCCGACGCCGCTCGTGGGGGTGAGGATATATTGAAGATTGCAATTAATCCTACTCATCCTCCTTATGTGCTCCTTATATCCTGCTTATGCTTCTGTTGAGACTGCGGCCCCAACGGGAAGGTTGATGGACAATGTGCGTGCAGCTAGTTCTTTAGTCGCAGCAGACCAACGGCCTGGCGACACAGTGACGCTTCTACTTCTTTTCAGGCTGAGACTACGGCCCCCAGCAGAATTGGTAATGAAACCAGAGACCAAAACAGCTCGACTTCTCCTCTTACCTGAGAATGAGAGTTCTCGGACTCATTTTGAATCCTGAGAATTCAGAGAATTCGAAGATGCAGAAAACCCATAATTACCTCGAAACCCTAATTGTAACCGCGCGTGCAGCTGGACGTGCGGACGCGGCAGACGGACGGCCTGGCGATCGCGCTGAGCGCGAAGCTGAGCATGGGCATGCGCGTGCCGCTCGCGCTGCTGCTCAAGTCGGTAGTGGGCGACATTGCGATCACGATCCGCCTCTCGCGCACCTGGCCCTACACCGCACACGTCGCGCTGCGTTTCATGGACAAACCGGACCACCAACTAGTCATCAAGGTGAGGCTTAGTATCATAGAAGATCTGGGTTCGAGAATTTAGGGCATCAAGTGCCGATCGTTAAAAGCAAAATTCCCTCATGCGCACCTGGCCTTACACCGTGCACGTCGCGCTCTGCTCCTTGGCCAAGCGGACCACCAGATAGTCATCAAGGTGAGGTGTGATTTTATCACTTCTTGAATAACGATTCTACTTCGACATTGTAAATTGTTAGTCTTCATTGCGATCCGTCTCTCGCGCCCCTGGCGTTTCATCGGGTACTTCGCGGTATGGTATATAGCCAAGCCGGAAAATCTAGTATTTCTGTGGAACACGCCTCTCCTGTATACGTAAGGCTTCTGGCCCCGCGAAACGAACTGAATCGGCCCCTGCTGCTTTTTTGGCAGGGCCTCGCGGGCCGCTTCGACCTGAGCCAGGTGCCGCTGCTCAAGACGTGGCTCCGGCAGCAGGTCGACGTGGCAGTCTCCAGTTGGCTCGTCGAGAACCCGGTGAGTGATCCTCGAGTAGCACCCACTTCTGAACGCTATCATTTCACTCAGCTTGAGAACGGTCGGGCCGCCCTAAAAATGAAAACTTCCTCGATATGCTGGCAACCGGCACATACGGGACACTTTTACCACGAACCGCGGAACAACGTGCTTCTTTGGTCAGCTAATGTAGTCTCGTCGCTGTCAATCCACTGGCTCCAGCCCCCAGCATTTTAGTAACAGTGACGAAAGTGCTCGCTGCTCGCTTGCTTTGCTTGCTGCTTTGGGCTTCGCACCTTAGACTCTTCGCAGTACATCAAGTTTCTCTGCAGAAGCAACACAGTCCGTTTGCTCGTCCCGCTGGAATGTTCCACTCTGCCTCGAGCCATTCCCCTAAGGGTCCAGATCACTGTTGACGGTCTCTGCCGGTTGCGTTTTTGTTCTCGAGTGGCACGGCCCGTCTGCGCCTTTGCTGGCGCGTCCCGCTCCAATCCCAAGCAAGTTTGCCCCATGAATTCGTCGTTATTCGTTGTACTTTGCAAAGTGCAGTTGACTTCTCGTTCCGCTCCCCTTTGCTTACTTTCATTCGCTATTTCATAGTCGATTCCGAAGGTCTGCATATCGAATCTCGCCCGAAGCAGCAGTATATTCCGCTCCTCCTTCCGCTCCTCATTCCGCTCTGCTGTGCACGTTTCCGTTCCTTAGCTCACACCCTCGTCCGCGGTCCCGCAGATCGAGTTCCCCCTGAAGCAGTGGTACAACCCGGAGGCGGCCCCCACTCCTGTTCGGACGTCCGTTACGGACGAGGATTTGGACGATGAGCTGGGGCCGCCCACAGCTATAGACGCGGTGAGCATTGGCTCTGCGGCCGCATTCTTCGTAGTCAACTTTGGTGCAGATTCTGCAAGATACATGAGCCATCTTGCAATCAGAACTTTACCAGCTTGCTGTTAAACCCGCCACAACGGTTGGAACCTCTTCGGACAAGCCCCTTCAATCTCTTGCTCGAAGAGCCTGACGTGAAACTTGGAAACTTGAAATTGAAAAGGTTAAAAGCCTTGTATCCTGAAGGCGTTCCCCTTCATTTGAGTTTGTAGCAGCGGCCAAAGGCGGCTTGGGGAAGCCCCATGTCCTGAAGAGTTTCATCGTAACTGTAACATCCTCACTTCACCGAGCCACCATTTGAACCGGCAGACTTTTGCGTTCTTCTGTGTAACCAGCGCCTGTGGCGACGCTAGGCCCAGATCTCTGAGAGTTGAGACCATCGCAAATAAGAGCTACAAGCCTCTAAATTCAATCCTGCAAGCGTTTCCGTTTTCTCGGGCGGGTGGCAGCAGCGAGTTTGATTGGCCATACACTGCCACAAATTCCAAACGCCAAAAACGCTGAAGCTTTAATTCCCGAGATTTTGCAGGCATTTCCATGGGCACCGGCTGAAGCCGGTTCAGACAAGTTCGGCGTTCTGATTATCTCATGTCTGAAGAGCCCAAACCTAGGAAGCCCAGGGGTCTGAGGACTGAAACTCTTTAAGTTGCTGCGGGCGTTTTCGTCCCTCACGGGGGGAAGCGGCTTCGGCTCTTCGCCGGCAGTCCCCTCTCAATCATCGAAAAGTAAACCTACGAATTCACAGGGTCTGAAATTCTTGAACCCTGCAGACGTCCTCCAGATGGAAGTGGGTGGACGATACTTCAAGCCCACAATCGATAAACGGAATTGAGACCATCGAATCCAAATCCCTTACACCGTAACCTGCTTTAACTCTGCAGGCGTTCCCCTTCTCCCGGGTCGGTAGCGGCTGCGGCGGCAGCAGTGAGCCCGGTTGCTCCGGCCCGGCCGCGCTGCTCCGCGTTCAGGTGCTCGAAGCCGCCGATCTGCCAGGGCCGCGGACGCCGTACGCGCTGCTACAGCTATTGGGCGACGATAATAAGGTCAGCGCAGCTCCAAAGTCAAGAATATCCGAGTACGTCAAGCGCCGGATTTCGTAATCCTGCTTCACAGCCCTGCAGATTCCAACCGTTTGTTCACCTTGCCGGGGCCGCGAACGCTGTATGCGCAGCTAAAGTTACCGGGCAACGAGAATAAGGTTGCCACAGCGCCAGACTTTGAGGTCTTAGAGTATCTCGTAAGTTTGGAATTTACTTTCCAGCTTTTTGGAAAATGTAACGATCTTCCTTTTGCTGCGAAAGCCGTAGGTGCTGCTACCTCTTGGGGGACAATTGCAAGATCAACACAGCCGCGGAACCCAGATGTGCGTGTAAGGCTCTGAAGCAAGTGGTATTTTGATGACGTCTTTCTTGAGCTCCCTGAAAACCACCGCTTGGAACCGGAAATTCTGACGGGGGCTCGTAGTACGCAGTGCGAAGACCAAGGTCCAAGCGTTGTCAGTCAAGTCGGTGCTTTCAGCTCGACGTGATACTTACAAATCTCCAGCAAATCGATACGAGCGCTGGCCGCCCAAGCATAGGGGCCCCTCGGTAATCTATACTGGTTATCAAACAGTGAGTACTTTGTGAAGTACGATGTACGCTCACCAGAAGATGCAATCGCGCAGGTGCGCGCGTGGTTCCAGAGCGCGCGGTGCGAGGACCGCAAGGCGGCGGAGTGTCCGTGGTGGGGGGAGACGTGGCAGCTGCTGGTGCCGGGGCTGGACGGGACGGGACTGCGGGTCGCTATCTACAACTACAACGTCCTGCTCAAGCACGAACTGCTCGGACAGGTGCGGACGCTTTCTAGCAACTTTAGGAATCTAATTTGCGTTTATCTCCCTTCTTTGTATTGAACTCTGGACACGTGGCAGCTGCTGGTGCCAAGGCTGGACGGCACCGAAGTGCGGGTCGCCATTTACAACTACAACGTCCTGCCCTCAAAAGTGAACTACTCGGACAGGTGCGGACGCTTAACGCATTTTTGAAATCCAGGATTGCTTTCATCTTTCTTCGTTACTTCTGGTTTTTTGACAAATGGCAGCTGCTGGTGCCGGGGCTGGTTGGGACCGGACTGCGGGTCGCTCTCTGCAATTACAACGTCTTGCTCAACTTGATTTCGTGCATTGCATCTGATAGGCGGGACCGTCTTGAATACTGCGAGGCCCTTCCTTTGCCCCAGCTAGATGTTGCTCGACTGTACGAAAAAGCTCTAGGGAAGTTACGGAACCAGCAACATGAAGCTTCTTTAGTACCCACTTCGCCAACTAACCTGCCCTGAACCTTCGACTTAGCCCATCCGTCCCAGGCTGGCAATCTTTTCCTCTCGATGGGTTATCACTTGCTTTTCTGAGAAAAAACCCAAGAAGAGCCAGTTTCATGACCAACTTATATTTTTGATCGCAGGTCCACCTTCCGATGTCGTACTTGGCTTCCACTTACACCGCGGACCCCCCTTTAGTCGCATGGCACGGTCTCGTGGGCCACAAGGGGGCACACGCCGGGCGCGTGCGCCTGGCGATCGCCGTGCAGCTGCTGGGTCGGCTAGACGCCCCGGGCCAGAGCCTGCCTCCCCCCGAGGTTAGTGCCAACGACGTTCCGTGTTTCATTGAACCCGTTTCTTCTTTTTGCTTCATCCTGTTCTCCCGTCCAGAATCCTGCATCTTACAATTGGTGTTGTGAACATCCTCCCTTCCGTTTAGCTGCTGTTCGATTAGACGCTCCGGGGTGGGCCTTACTCCCCCCGAGGTCAGCGCGAACGACGCTCCGTCCTCGTTTTGCCTCACTTTTTCAGTTTTCTTTCAGCTGTAGGTCAGTGCTAACAATGTTCGGTGTTTTCTTGGCTTGACTTTCCTCTTTTGCTTGACCCTGTCTTACCCTTTTCAGAGTCCTGCATCTTGCAAACGTTTCTGTGAGCGTCCTCTCTCCGTCTTTCCTTCTTTCAGGTTTCGACTTGAGACACCGGAACCGTAACAGAACCTTATCCGCCGCTCTGGGTTGTCTTGAACTTAGGAGATGTGGGGGTTTCGGCCCCTTCTCAGATCTTTTGTTAGCTGAACAGGGGAAGACAGCCTCTTATAGAACTTGTGAAAATCAAACCCTAAACCCTAAACCCTGAACCCTAAACCCTAAACCCTAAACCCAAACCCGAAACCCTATATCCTAACCCCTAAACCCTTATCGAACCCCACAGGTCGCATCAGCCCTTGAACCGGCCGAGGAGGAGGGCAGGGCGGCGGCCGGCACAAGCGCGCTGGTGGAGGTACTGCACATCCGGCTGGTGCAGGCTGAAATCAGCAAAAAGGTGAGGATGACGTCAGCGGACGCGGTATGGTGACGTCAGCGAGTGGGCGAGGTCGGTAACTGGGCGGTGGTCGGGTGACGTTGGAGAGTGAGCTTGAGCAGGCAAGCACGTGAACAGCTGGATAGCTGGTGGCTTGCGTTGTTAGGACCTTACGTGTAGGAAGGGTTTTGTGAGAGAAAAATCTTTTATTTGAATTGGATCAAGAGGCAGGTGTCTTCCTTCGTCATTTCCAAATTTTCGCTTGGCTCGAATACGAAGTCAGCGTCCACCCCAACTGCCAAAGGGGCACGATAACCTTTCTTACTTTTTGACTTTCAACACAGTTGAAGTTGCGTGATTGGCTCTGCTCTTATGAAATTTGATTCACCTGGGCTGAAACTTTGCGACAGAAGGTACCGGAACTCACCTGCGACTCTCCAAAGCATTGGGAGCTTCCAGCAGTCACGGTCTTTGCACGCATTTTGACCCGAAAAGACATCATTCAGCTGGTTGCATCTACTTGGACCAAAGATGGGATGCTGAAGATCAGTCAATTTAATGTCGATGTCGGAGTAATTTCTCCTCCCTATTCTGCTGACAGGCTTTCTCCTTGGCGTCTCCCGACTCGTACTGTCGCGTCGGGTGTAACGGTGCCAGCTGGACCAGCAAGCTCGTCAAAGCCACGTCAGCACCCGTCTTCCATGAGGTCAGCAGATATTACTCTGTCCCCTCTTTTGCTTGTCTTCTTGTTTGTCTGACAAGCGCGGACTCGCATGCAGGACAGTCAAAATATTTCTACTGTCCTGCATTTGCGGACGTTTGAGGCTTAGATTGTAGTACCTCGATCTTCTTTTGATCGTTTCTCGGAAAGGATGTTCTTTAAATTCAGAGTATTCTTAGAAGATTATCTGCCGTTATCAGTCTCATACCCATATCCGGGTGCTACGAGCGGACCCATTCTGCACTGATCTTCGTTCCCAAATTGCAACTACTTTTATCGCCACAAGCCGAAGATCATCTGAAACTAGATTCTGGCGCCGACTCCTTGAATGCTTGTTTCTTAGCATGAGGACCTTCATTAACCCCACACCCTCGAAAGTCCAAAGCCTAAGAGCTTCCGAACTATCTTGTGCACAGGTGCACGACTTCATCCTGACGGATGGCGCGCGAGACGGTGACCGGGACCTCACGCTGCAACTCCTCAGCAGGAATCTCGCCCGAGCGGATGACGTCATAGGTAAGCCGCGTTACGTCAGCCGTTGTGACATGGCGGGAGCCCCTTATCTTCAGGGGTGTTTTTTGAAGGAACTGCCTCGGCGTTGTTCCGGCCTTAACTCTGGAAGCTCCTTCAAAGGTCATTACGCCTGAACAATCGCTTGATGGTGGTTGTTGAAAGCGAAATGTTGGCGGAAGGATTGTCCAAGGCGGCAACCTTTGCCCAGGAATCTCCGCGCTGCGAGACTGGATTGCAATCGACTCATAGGCTCTTCACGCTCTCTTGTGGAGAAGCTCTCAAACAGATTCGTCGATGCAAATCTGAAGCAGTCGTCCGCAAAAACAGGATAAAATCTGTCATTTTCTCTGGAGGACTCCTGGCTGCGATTCGGCCAGCTTGCTTTCTACAGAGAATCAACATCTCCTCGCTGATCTGGGGCTAGAGCATCGTAGTTGCTTCCCCGTTCAGACGTGCCCCCAAACCTTTCCAGTACATACCCGAAGTATATCCAGACACCCAAAAGCACAACAATGTTGCACCAGAGATGAGCATTCCAACAAAGAGCCCTTCCCACGTCTTTGGCAGGCTCGTGTCGGCTGGAGAGGCCCCTGCTCGCCACGTGTACGACCGCAGCAAAGAACGCGTGGCTGGAGCTGACCGGCTCGAAGGCGGGGACAATCACCGGGCGTATCAATGTGGTAGTGCGGGTCATCCACTTCCAACCGATCCGGCACACCCCAAAAGCATAATGGTCCTTAGGAGAAAGCCCCAGTTTTATTGAGCACTCAGTTCTACACGCACTTGAGCTTTACATGGGCTGCTGCGATCAGGAAGGTCCAGACTGATCACGAAACGAGAGTCTCTTAAGCATCCCCCGGCTTACTTGAACGGAAGTTGAGGTTTAGAAGAGGGAGAGTACAGCAATAGACAGGTACAGTGGGAGGATAGCACACGCAATATGATAGTTGAGAGGAAGTGCGAGAGGGCGTGCAGAAGCGAGAGGCATTGAGCGCATCTAAGCGTGCATCAGTTTTGGTATAGACAGTCAAAAAGGCTCGCACCGCCATTCCCTTCAAACGCCTTTGGCCAAAGGAAAGAGCCCACTGGAAGAGATCAAATCAAAGCGCAGGAACGTATGGTTTAAATAGTTTTGGCAACTTTCCCCGGTTTTGCAGACTGCATTGAATTGTAAGGATTATTCATCACACTCGTCGCCGTTCATCGTGGCACTGCCGCAGTATACATCCTGATAAGGCGGCGACTAGGTTCCACTGATGACGCTAGTCCTGTGGATTCCCGCAATTCCTGCCCCACATATGCAGGTTGTAGTGGAGGATCCGAACGTTGCTAGCCCTACGTTCATCAGTCACCTTCTGAGTGGCGGTACCACTCGAAGTTTTTCATGTGTCTGATGTTCTCTTTCAAACGCCGTAGCCACACGGGCCATAGCGGGCCTGGCTTCCCGACAAATCATACATGGGAATCATGCACTCTTTGTCGATCTGGGACGCAGCTAGCTAGCTGCCTTTAATACTTTTCTATCAATCGAAAGCCTGTATTAGGTCGATTTGGGCGAGTCATGCAGCGGGCCATGCAGTCACGTACGGTATCACAGCATGGCCGGCATCTTGCAATTAACCAATTACGACCGGACGAACTCTTGTTTACCAATCTTCGTACGGTGGCGCCCGGCCCCACGATTCGCTTAGAGCTAGCTTGACATTGGTGCAGAACAGATGCGCTCTTGCACACTGATGAACACAAGTCGGCGAAACACGTTATCATTGCATCATGAGCGTGGACATTCGCCGGTTGCGATCGAACTCACTCAGTGTGACTTGCCGATCCACAGCGAAAATAAGGCTCGATCATGTAAGCCTGGTTTTCAAACGTCAGCTGTGAGCTTTGAGCACTGAGCAAGGCGTATCTCGAAGTTAGGTGTATATGGCCAAGATCCACACGGACCAATAAGATTAGAATAAAAACAACGTTCTACCCGGCCCAGTTGCGAACTGACTAAGAAGAGAAAAAGTCAGCACTACTGTATAAGACGCACTCGCTTCTTTCGAAGCTATTTCAACGTCAAGCAGTGACGTGCGCTCCTTGCTCCAAGTGAGCCAGTTGATCCTATGCTTCTAGCTTTGAGATTTTACCTAGTCAGCTTATCAAGCTACATATGAAGGCAAAGCTGAGTCCGCCGGTCATACCGTGTTTGTCGCCTGATACTCAGAGCCGTTTGTACGTACTGGTATTTACGCACATCGATTAACGGAGATGTGAAAAAACCCGATTGACGTTGAAACAGTCGTCCACCTCTCGCAATCTGTTTCGATTCGACTTAGCAGGGACTGCTTTGCGCAAACCTTAGTATGGGGCCGCGAGACCTTGCGCAATCTCCTATGAGCGATCTATCTGGAAACGGTGGCCCCAAGTCTTTTCCTTTCTACCCGGAATCGTTAAAATTAGCGTGTGCTAGCTGCCTGTTCGCAGTTTGATGCGTACGTCAGATCACCAGCCGAACGGGGCGGGGCATGTGCTGATCGAAGATTTGGTTCCTCCTTCGAATGAAGTAGGCCGTCGCGCTGGCGACGAGAACGGCTCCCACAGCGCAGCCCGCGACAATCCCCGCTGCAAAAGTAAAAGTGAGATGGTCGGAAAGTGAAACAGTTTGAGATCCTTTTCAATTCACACACTCAAGCCTGCGCGAAAATGAAGGATTGGAAAAGACGGGGTTCGAAGAACTGTGAAGGCAGCCTTTAGTATTCTCAGGCAGCAGTAAAAACGGCTCTGAACTTGGAGCCAGGATTTTGTCAATCCAGGACAGAGGTACGTGAATAATCTGCACGACTCTAGACCCGACTTGGATCCGATCTGATTCGCGATGCAGTTCACGATCGATCGGATCAACACTGAAACCCGCTCGTGTTGGCGTTCGGAGCAACATTGTTTTAGACTAACCGCAGCCCTTTGTCGAAGACATTTGTAAAGAAACGAGGAAGCCATCCAACTGTGACTGAGTTCTCAGTCGAAAACCTGTGGGACATCCCGCGATGCTTTTGTTGCTTCTTGATGAGTTCGGCCGTTTCCCGTCAGAAGATATTATGAGACATGGTTTCACATACGAGCTCAGAATCCGCAGCATCCCATCCGCCTTTCATACGACAGATCCTGCAACGGAAGAGATTGTCAAGACTTTCTGCGAGAAAGTACTTTTCAAGTCAAGGTAATGGGTCACCCTCCAATCATTCCTTCACCGTTTCTCTGCAAATCTGCTAGAACATGTTTCGACTCACCAATCAAGCCAGTATTCGACCCAGCCTTGACGATCTGCGCCACCGGAACCTCATCCGAGGGCGGCGGCGGCGGCCGCGGCGTCCCCTCAATCGCCGTAAACGGCGGCTGCGTAATCACAACGTCAGCATATATGCCGTAGAAGACCAGCACCCTCTGGAGGGTTCCGTCGTCCACGGAAGTTTGCATCGCGGCCGCGAGCGCGGCCGCGGCCGCCTGGTCCGCGACCGCGACGACGACCTCGATCGTGAGCGCGACCGCGACGTGAGGCGCGTCGACGATCGTCACGGAGGGGTGGAGGTTTTGGGCCGCGAGCGCGGCCGCGACGCCGCCTGTGTTCAGAACCTGCGACACCAAAGTACGTGGCAATGTGAATCTTCAAGCGCGTGCCAGGTAAGGCTATGGTCGAGCTGCTGATGCGTTCGGGCGCCGTACGAGTGATGGCGCACGAGAGAAAGTTGGCTGCTTGCTTCAAGTCTGTCCGGATTTGATTTCGTTCGATTCTGCTCGGAACTGTTCGATGATCTTTTCGAGAGCTGACGACGTCCTCTACGAGTCAACGCTCTCTCCTTTTTGCGCCTTGGAATAAGACGGCTGCCGCGCCGCTTCCTCCTCTAGCGGCCTTCATGTTATTGCATGGATCAGAACGACAATCACGTTACGAAGAGTTTTACAATAAATGTTTCAGCCGTGAAACCTCTTTCGACTATCGTCGACCGTTGACTGTTTGAATCAACGGGCGTGGATGGGGCGTCCGCGCGCGAGCGCGCGCGAACTTTTGCAGACATATTCTCGCATTCTGGTTGTTTATGGTAAAAGAAAAACCGCACTGAGACCTTCAGCCGAGTCCTCAAAAGCGTCAAAGGTACGAACGTTGCCCTAAACGTTTCAAGGATCATAGACGAGCTTCACTGGATGCTCCGGATTAGAAGAATCGGCGCAATGTGCGATCAGGAATGGAACGCATCAGGAGACCAGTGAGAGACCAACGGCTCAATCGGATCGACAATGTGAACCTTCAAACAAGCATATTTCGGAAAAAACAAATGGGTTACGAACCTGGGTTACCGAATTCGCCACGTTAACAGCCTGGTCAGGCTGCGTGCAGTTAATGCTAAACCGTACGGTAAACTGCCCCGACGCCAGCAGCTGGCGACCATCCGGCGTGACGTCAGCAGAGAGCAGCCGCCTCCGGTCGCTGACGTCCAGACCGTCCACGTGGACGGCTGAAATTGAGACGTTGCTCGCGGTTGCGATCGATTTGATGAAGGCGGAGGATCCGACGGTGTTCCACTCGTTGAACGAGATGCCGTCGAGCGACACGCTTTGCGACACGCGGAACGAGACTGACGTCACTTTCACGGCTGACGGGTCGAGTTTCTGCAAACAGGTCACGAAGAAGGTTTACGAAGGCTTTTAGACAACTCAATTTTGCTTGCGCTGTGATCGAACGTCTTGAATTGTTTAGGAAGAGCTGAGAGAAAAACAAGGCCTGCGGGACCACAGAAAACAAGGAGGGCTTGGCTATAGTCGTAGCTGGAAGCCGCAACAGGGAGCCAATGGATGTCTAAATTGAGTACTTCAATCCAGCAGAGAGCTTATCAACCAGTCTGCTCGAATTCGATGCTTGAGGACTATAAGAGACGAAAGCTCTGTTACACGATTCATCGGGCTCGCGGAGACCGAACACTTTCAAAGGGATTTAACGTAACAAGCCCCAAATGATTCTCATTCGGAGTCATTCCTCGTCATGGGCACGTACTTTTTGACACTGTTGACTGTTGAAAATGCTTATCTTCCACACTCTCAGCACCAGACACCTCAAATCAGCTCCTAGCTACCGTTTTGGAGCGATGCCGATCAGATGAAAGAACTTCGACGAAGAGAAGCAATCCAATGCTTAGTAGATCACAATGGCTTTTCGAAACGGTTTCCCAGCGGAAAAGTGTGCCAAATGCGTTACAGTTCCACACAGCGATCTTGAAAGCTACCCACCTGCGCCACTGCAAACGAGCTGATAAACTTTTCTTTCGACGCGTCGTCGAACTCTTCGGCGGCCGCGCCGATGAGCGCCATCCCCATCGTGACGGTTGCAACTAGAGGCGCGGGAGTTTTGGTCGGGACCGGAGTCGCTCGCGATAACGGTGAAGGGGACGGCGACGGGTGCGCGCTTGGCGACGGTTCGGGTGAAGGGCTGATTGCGGGTTTGGGTGAGGGTTCTGTGGGCGTTGGAGTCACAGATGGGGGTGGCATGAAAAGAGGGGGCGATTGGTAGGGCGCGAGAGGGGTTCCCTGCAGGAGGGAGGTTTCGACCAGTGTATCAGAATCTGAAGCGTCGGAGAGGATGTACAAGAGCATGACAAAGTCCGGTCCTTTTGCAACCACTTGGCAAACACGAGGTTTACTTTTGCAGAATCGCAACGTAAAGCCTGGTACTTTGATGACGGTTAGAAGACGTCAGAAGGAACCGAAGGGTTGTATGATTGCGAAGGGAACGCAACGGTCGCTAATGCCAGGACTCCGGTGAGAGACTCTTGTGATTTTCTTACTTCAACTCAACCAGGGAACAAAGTTCGTCGAGAATTTCATGTATTTCTTGATTCCGCTGCGACCAATTAGTGACAACCATCAAACGAAGCTGAATAACGTCGTCTTGCTAGAGCTCATAAACAAAAGCAGAAAGACACCAACCTCGAAGACGCTGCCGCAGTCCGTCACCGTGCTGTTGAACAGGCTGCCGAAGTACGCCTGCTCGAGGCGCGCGCGCACCACCCCCGCGCACGCCGCGCGCGCGGCCGCGCTCTCCTCGCCCGCGAGAGCGTCGGCGTGTTCCCATATCGCGGCGTTGCACGCTTTCCAGTGCGCGGACACCTCCTCGGGATCGTTGTGTGAATAATCGCCGGCGCAAGCGTCTTGGCAAGGCCCTGTTAGGGCGCCGAGATCCGCGGCTAGGGCGACGGAAGCCAGGTCGCGATGTGGGCAGTCGCTGAACAGGGCCTCGACGGCGACATTTAGATCGGGGATGATTCCGAAGCCGGCTACAGGGGCGCAGAACTCGTCTAGAGAAAGCGTGGGATCGCCTAGATCGTACCTGCAAGAAAGCGACAGAAAATAAAAGCTGTCCATCGACCTCGGTTAACGTTTGACCAAGTGGTCTTTTGACGCTTGGAAAAGAAATCATGCCCTCCAGATGATGAAACGCCTTTGGAGAGGGGCGGGTCTCCAATAGACGTTTAGGGTAGATTCCACTCAACTCAAGTCAACCAGCGCTGATCAAAATTATTGGTCGAACATTTTGTGAAAGTGAACACGAGATGCGGTTCGAAGTCACCATCTTAGAACCTTTCTTGGTCCTCAGGCAAGTGTTTTGGTGTCTTTAAACGAATCCTCTAATCAGACTCACCGATAGTCTGGATTTCTTCAGACGAAATGAGACCTACATGGTGATCAAACAGCAATACGTGAGCTTTTAAAGCCATGCCAACACTTGAAGCAAATCTTACTTGTAAAGTCCCGTCAGGTGGGCCTTAAACCCCGCGCCGCACGCGTCGGCCAGCGCGCGCGACGAAACCTCCGGCGGCAAAATAGCCGCGTTCGCTTCCAGGACTTTCAGAAACGCGAGCCGCACGGCGCCGCAGCACGAATACACGTCATAAGCGTCGCTTCCGGATTGGCAGTTGGTTGAGAGGTCCGTGTAAACGGAACCGGGAATGGAGAAATCGAGAGGGCAGCAGTCGAAGTGGGGGGCCGAAGGGTGCGGAGTCTGCAGAGTGAAAGGAACCGGAGTGAGCTGTTGGATTGCACCTTGCCAAACGTGCGAGTATTAGGTGTTTGCTTCTGGACGAGATTGTGACTACAACGGCACGGGCCTAACGATTGATCTCACCTAATTTGGAATCGTCCTGTGTCAAATAACCTTATTTCAGTCACGCATTGAAGAACAGAGCTCTCGGACGTATCGCGGATGGCTGGCAGAAGAGCGCGTCATATCACCAGCTATTCGACTCCATTATGACTTTGCAACTTTGATGACGTCTCCTGGTTCACAAGCGTGCTCGTAATCTCAACGACGTCAGCTAAAGCGAAACCTTCAACATCAAATCTCAGATTCCCGCTTCCGGGACTGGCGACTTACCAGGATACCCGAAAGTCCGTCGAGGACTTTAAAGAGACCCTCCGTCGCTCCCAGATGAGGCAAAACGTTGGCAGGGCCAAGAACTAGCAGCGGGAGATAAAGCAAGGGGAGCGCGCCCATCCCGCCGGGAAACGCGGTGTTAGCGTGGATAATTTCCGGCATGTAAACGAGCATTTGGAGAGCAATCAAGACTTCCGTTTCGTAAAGGGCGACGTCCTTGGCAGTGTTGGCGGTTAGAGATAGAGCCTCGGACAGGGTTTGCGCGAGAGTTAGCGCGGGAAGGAGGGTTTGGGAAAGGGTTTGCGCGAGGGTTTGGAGTTCAGTTGAGCCCAGTCCGACGAACGGAAGATGGGTGCCCAGGAAGGTTTGGAGCGTTTCGGGCGTCACGCGGCCGCCCGCGCGCGCCATGTAAGCACGCGCGCGCGCGATGAGTTCTTTCGGGCTGACGTCAGCGGTCAGAAGCTTCTCCCTCAGAAGGATTCCGATCGACGTTCGATTGATCTGCCCGTCGGGAAAGAAAGTCGCGAGGACGTCCGCAAGCTTGGGGCCGTCGACCTTGAGCATTGGGAGCTTCTCCGCCGTCAGATCTGCCAGCTGGCGCGTTGTGATGCTTCCTTCCGGGAGGCGACTGCTTATGGCCTGGATAAGCTCAGCCCTATCCATTTGCGACGCTCTTGTCGCCAATTTTCGAAGGGTGGTCACGTTTATGATCCCTTCAGGGAAGAGGGTACCCAAAAGCCCGTCCAATCTTTCGACGTCGAATGGCAGCATGGGCAGATTGGCGGTAACCACGTTCGACAGTTCCGTCGGTGCTATCTGGAAGGCTTCGACGCTGGACAGCTTCTTCGTCAACAAGGAACGGATCGTCTTCGGGTTTACGCCGTTAGGAAACTGCTCCTTAGCCATTTCCATCAGTGTCTCCGGTTCTACCGGCAGGTTTGGGAGGGCTTTCTTTAAGAAGTCCGCAATCTGGTTATGATCCAGGTTTGGCAAACCCGTTTTCAAAACCTCCGCCAGGAAGACCTCGCCGAACAGCAGCGGGGGTACGGAGCCCGATAGAAGCTCTAGGGGAAGGTTAGGAAGATAACCACTGAGAAAACCCATGGTTACGGCGTCAACGGTTAGAGCGGGGAGTCCATGGGGAAGGCTGTGATAAGCTTCGGAGAGTGCGGTTAGGATTTCCGGGTTTAAGGGAAGCCCCTCTTCAGCCATAGCCGGCATTCGATTAGGGAGAAACGGCGCCAGTAACAGCAGGGTTTCCGGGCTTAATCGCAGGTTAGGAAGGCCGTTAGGGAGGGTCGGGTAACCCGCGATCAAACCCGCCAGGGCTTGGGCGTCCAAAGCGATGCTGTAGGCCGCTGACGCGAAACCCGTTCCGCGGTTCAGCGCGCGCGCGATGCGCGCGGCGGCCGCGGAGCGCAGGGGCGCGGGCACGCGCGCGAACGCCGCGGACAGGGTTCGGACGTCCGCGGAGTCCCAACCGGCGAGAGCGTCCGAAAGGGTTTTGAGGTTTAGGGTTTGAGAGAGGTCGCCCAAAGCTGCTTTGTAGAGCGAGGGGAAAGACGAAACGGTGTAGGGAATCTGAGCGACTTGGTCTTTCAGCTGGTTCAGCCATGGAAGCGAGGCGCCAATAGTAGCGGCTCCCGGAACCTGCAAAGGAGGTTGAAGTTTATGCCTTTGACTGCAGTGTTCGGAAAGACCATCTTACCAATAATTACATGGTTTGAGCTTGGCTTTCCAGTAATCCACTTAAAAAATCCGGAGGATCAGTTCTCTGCTTCCGACCATGTAAGCGAAATGTGGATGCCTTCATGGCCCCCTCGCAAAGAAGCGCGGATGGGCAGTCAAGAAAATCTCCCGCGCAACGAAGGTCGCAACGAGAGGTCTTACCTGAGCTAGCGCAAAGAACGCCACGTCAAAGTGGTTCGCGAAAAGGTTCATCACGACGGCCGCTTCGCAGCCCTGCAGGAAAAGGAGAGGCTTTGGATCGGCCAGAATGAGAAGATTAAAGCAGAGGCTTGAATCTCCAAGCCGATCACCTGAAGTTTCACATCGATACGGAAACTGCATAACCCCTTAGGCCAAAATGCGTCGAAGATGAAGGTAATTCAATCAGCGGGTCTACATTGTTCTCTTTTTTCGTCCATTATTACCGCCTCCTCGCCTCTGTCCGCTTACGCTGCCGTAACTACGATAAATCCTGGACCTCTTGCCCCGAAATACATCTGATAAAGACTAATGGTAGGAGCCTATTATTGTTCACAAATAACGTTTCTGGTTCTAAACGGATGCTCAAAGTCATGCACAAGGAACCATCAAGAAATCGGGAGCACTCTTTAGACAGCGAAGACAGCTTTTGCTCAAAATAGGTTCTTCCAGATATTCCGCTTTCTCACCTCTGAGCTGTCACCTCCGGCGAGTTCCTTTGCAGCCTTCGCAATCTCTTCGCCGCAAGAAGCGCTCGCGCCGGCAAGCGGTGCACACGCCACGGCAATTTTGCCGGCGTCGAACGTCTTCGCCACCTGGGCGGCACTTTTTCCGGCGCACTGGATGCCCTCTAGGAGCGTCTCGATGGTGGGAAAGACGGCAGAACAATGCTGCGGAACGGTTCAGAAGGCTGGTTTAGAGAGAGCCTCCGGACAGGGACGAACACCTAGCAAACGTCCCGTGAAACGTTCGTTCGCTACAAAGATGTGCTCCACTTCTCTGATGAATGTTTTTAGGCTGACAGACTGTCTGACTCCTAAGTATGCATTCACAGCTTTGGGTTTTGGTATTTGTTGTTCCCGCAGGTAACGGTGGTTGGGCAATCGTTGGCAAAGCAGTGTCCCTGAATCTGCCGTTTAAACCTGAATTTTTGAAGCTCGATGCTCCATAATCAGGAAAGCAAAGCGGGAAATCTGTCGAGGGGCAAAAGCAGAGCTGGCATATAAGCCCATCCCCAAATTGTCTTTCTATGAAGCGACCGACGGATATCACTTTCCAGATGCTGATACAAGCAATTGAGCTTACTCGTAGCGCGAGAAAACGGCAAAATCTGTCGCCCGGCCCCCTCACCTCCAAGCTCTGGTTGGTCAGCCCCATCCGAACCTTCAGCGCGTGCGTACACCCCTCGCTGAGTACCGCGTCCGTAAGCACTGCGGACGCTTGCTCCGGGTTTGCCGCCAGGAGTTTGGACGCGACCGCTTGGACGCTGGCGCAACACGTGGCGGCCGAGGAGTCGTCCTGGCATGCGCGCGCGTGCTGCGCGTACTGGGTCTCGTCGAGGGCGGTGAAGTTGAACCCAGATATGCATTGGCTGAGGGAGTCGTTGCCCGGGGCAAATGCCTGAGAAGAAACGGACGGATTCTTAATCAAATTGAAGGATTGCTTTGCGCAGACACTGCTTCAAAACAACGGATCTGAGTCACTGATTTTGGATATACTTTCGTCTCTCCTTCCCGGTTCCAGCGAGTTGTTTCGATTGGAAACATACTGTATCCTTCCGTGCGGGCGGCCGTGGTTTTAGAATTGAGGTGTTTCTGAAAGTGACAGGTGTCCGAAAATCAAGTCAGAAGAAGCTAACATATTACCGACAAAGGCTCCGAACGATATTCAGACAATTTCCGTAAGATTCTTGTTAGTTGAAGAAGGAGCAATGCGTCGCCACGAACAACGACCGCGTTGTGAGAAGACAAAGACAGACCCTTGCCACAGTCACCACGGGTGGCGTTCTGATCAGGGGTAGCCGCTCAGCTTAGATTCCATTTTTCCGAAACCGAAAGACCAAACGGCATGACAAAGTCTAGCAAACCTCAATACTCTCCCCCGCGAGCTGAGCCAACGTCAAGAGACATCATGCGAGGTATTCATAACTCTCACGTTTTGAAGCACGCCGCAGCCCATCACAGCTCCCTCCGTGAACAGCCGCCCCGCGTGCTCCTGCGCGAGGACAGCTGTCACCACCTGCGCGCACTTCGCTACGCCGACGAGCGTGCTCGCGGGCCCGGCCGCGGCATATGCCGCGCTCTGGATCGCCGACGCGCATCTCGCGCCCAGCGGAATCGCGCCGGCGAGGCAGTCAGATTCGACGACGGAACATTCGGAAGCGAGTTTGTCGAAGTCGATGGGCAGCGCGTCGAAGGCTTGGGTGGTGCAGTGGAGTAGCTCGCGCGCGACCGCGGCCGCGGGGCCGACGGCTTGGGAGGGGTCCGGCAAGTTGAGATCTCTCAGAATGTGCGTCGCATCTATGCGGAAACCAAAGTCTGGTCTTAGCACGCAATCAATCTGGGTTCGTTTTAGTTCTAGAGTCCTGAGTTTGTTCTTCGGGAAAGGTGATCCGTCTTCTAAGAAGGCCTCGTACACTCATCTACGCGTTTACGGAGGGAAGCAACGGCAGCTTTAAGCAAGCTGAAATTGCATCGGAAGAACAGGGAGTTCACGGGGCGGTACTCACCTCAAGGGCTCATTGTCTGGCGACAAGAGCATGCCGTTGCGAAGGATCCAAGGCAATCAGTTTTGAAAGCGGCAACTTCAATCCGAACGAGAAAATCTGGACAGAACGGGACTTGCTGCCTTCACTTGTCCCTCTGCCCTGGCAAATTTTTCGGAGGCTTGCTTGATGCGCCTTCCAACTAGCGCATATGACAAGCAGACCGAGTCAACTTCTTTCGCACCTCGTGTCTGCAGGTTAGAATCTGATAAGCAGCTGGCAACTACCTTTTTCACAGGTTACAACGACGGCACTTAGGCACCGCCGGCTGCGGTTGCCAGGCTCTTGATCGTCGTTCTGACTAAGGCACGAAAGGCGACCTGGGTTAACGTGTTCCCGCAACTCATTCTCGCAAACATACGACTCCCTGAGCAAAGAAATCTTACCTTTCTCAGGTGACAACGACGGAACTGCCCGCTGCAGTCGCCATGCTCTTGATCGCCGTTCCTCATAGCGCATGACAAGCAAGCTGGGTTAACGTATTCTGCAACTCAGTTCCGGAAGTAAACAAATCGATGAGCAGCGGACTAACTACCTTTCTCAAAAGTAATAATGACGGAATTGCCCGCTGCAGTCGCCACGCTCTTGATCGCCCGGTAGAAGGGGCCCGAGCCCCCGGTAAAATTGGCGCAGCCCCACTCAGAGTCGCCGATGAGGAGAGCTCCGACCGGCCAGCTGAGAAGGGGCGTCGTGTCTAGAGCGTGGACAACCATCTGCTCAGCTGAACACCTGTATGACGAGTTTTGCAGTATGTGAGACATTCGAAGTTGTTGAAGGGCCTTTGATGCGGACAAAGTGGCCTGTCGGACTGATACAAATCAAGTCTCCTCCTTCGTTTCAGTGACTTTGAAACGAAGGAGGAGAGAAGGAAAAACGGCAACCAAGTGATGCGGTATCGAGCAGAGGGTTGAATCTTGCCAGAAGGGCGGAGAATGCCAGCAAAGCAGGACATATATTATGATAGAAAAGATAGCTTCACGAGCTCAGTATGTAGTCCGCAGAAGGGCCAAATACTGTACAAAGTATGGCGTCGCTTATATTAGCTGTCAGCAGTAGGGAATGCATCAGCGGAGAGACCGTGAGTGCAGTAACTGAACCAACAAGCGAGCATGTACTTTCGCACGCTTGTACAATCGATTGACTTCTATTGACCCCTTGAGATGATCTCGCATGCTTCTACACCCAAGTTTGAGACGGTTCTTCCCTTAAACGAGGGTTCATTATCGCGGGATTGCAGCTTGCCGTCCATCTTGAACCTGATTGTTTTCTTTCTTATACGCACACCCTCGTCCGTCAAAAATTTCCCCATGCGTGAGAAAAAGCCCACGTCAGCAAAGCGCACTTACTCGACGGCTGTGATGATGCTCCGGTAGTTCTCAATTGGCAGCACCCTCGCGAGAGTCTCCTGGATCACGAAACCCAACAGATCTTCCCTGGCCTCCTGCGCCTTGACGACCAAGGTGTAAATACTCTCCACGTCCAGCTTGGGCAGGCTCACCGCAGGCAGCCCCGGGATTTTCACACTCTGACCGTGAAACAGGGGCAAGTCCGACAGCCGCTTTGGAATGAACTGCTCTAAAATCAGCATCGCCGCCTGAGCTTTGAGAGACGATGGGACGTCAGATGACCCATGAAGCGCCTCAGCCAGCCTTGAGGCGAGACTTTTTGCCGGGGGGGTATATAACGGGAACGGGGGGAGGTTGAACAGGTTTGGAACAGCCCCCCCCGGGACGTAAGACTGGGGAAGGAGCTCCCCCGGAATGTATCCGGCGGGCTGGTCTGTGAACAGGTCAAGAATCTTGTTAGGCAGCATTGCACTGGGGGTTTCGCCAGAAGCGAAGTTAGTTTCGAAAGTTGGTGGCAGGGTTAGATCCACCAAAGCCTCCTTAACCATGCCTTTCTCCGCATCTTCCACGCTCCCCTGGTTAACTTGGGTTAAGGTGGCGTCAATCGGTGCAGCAATACCGCTGCTCGAGCCCCCCCCCAGGAGGTCGTTAACCACCGGGTTAGCCGCTAATTGGTGCCCTAACCCCTCCACATTGCCGCTTAACCGCATCCTCAACTCCCGCCTCTGCGCACCATCGGTTTCTCCCCCAGCCAAGCGACTCTCCCTCAAAAGCTGCCCCTCCTCCAATTTAGTGTGCTCCGGTTTTGTGAAGTATGCAAGGATAACTAGCAGTGCGAAAATAGTGAGAGACGTCGCAAGCGCGACGCTGATCCCAAGCTGGGGCCGGGTTTGTTTTTCTTGGACGGCAGTCTCGTCCAAGACGCCAGATTCGGACACGGCAACACTGACGGTCTGGCCGGCCAGGGACCGCCTGCGGGGAGCCCCCATTGCGATGTGCAGTCCTTTCAGATAGCCACTCAAATATTCGATGTACAAACTTAAATTTAATACGTCAAGCTACTATGCCCAATTGGTGATTCTCACTCGGAGATGTTCCTTTCAAAGCTCCAGGAGGCGATCGGAGCAGAAGTATTTTATGCTGTTTCAGAAGGGCGCGCCGCCACCTTGGCTCAAGCTGGAGGGCCTTCTTTAGAAGCCCCGTCTCAGGCGTAATGCAGCCTCCTCCACACTTACAACAGCAGCATTACTCTCAGCTTCCGTATTAGAGCACTTTCTGCACGGATTCAGGACTTGAGCTTCCAACCCTATTCATTGTCGGCATTCCTTTTTGCGTTCTTCTAGCCCTCTGTCAGTGTGTCGATCCTCATCAACAAGATGAGAATGAGCCATGTCTAATGTTGAAGCACTTCCCGTTTTTTCGTTCTGATGATCGCCAACAATGCACCAATGATGAATCGCATGAGAACTTTTCGGAAGAAGCTACAATGCCATCGACCCCCGGCCAAAAGATCGATATCGGAACAGAATTTGATGATGTTCAAATTGATGAGGGTTCGACGCGAAGTTCAGGGCGATCGATAACGTATCAATGTCGATAGTTTATCCACATTGATAGCAGTCATCTTCAAGGGCTAGATTGTGAGCTGACAAAACGTATCCCTAGTCTTATGCGGCATGCCAGCTGGACGCGGTCCAGAATTGTAGGATAAATCCTACACATGTGCAAAGCCTAAAGGTGGTTTATTGTCATGATGGTGACATGATGCAGCCAATGAGCTCACAACCCAGCAACGCTGTCGACACGTGGGCAGATCGGGCACTTGTCTTGACTCTTGAGTCTTCGCACTGAATGATTGTGGCAGGCCGCACTTCAAATGCCCAGCAGTCCGCCAAACCAATATACGGTAGGTCCTACAAGGCTACATGATCTGTGGGCCTTAGGCCACCGATTCGATCTACACTCTTAAAGCCATTGATGGCCGGCCGTCGATTGAAATTTAAACCTTCTTCAAATTGTTCGGCGCCCGTCGATAAGAATGTACGCGCGTGCTTCAGGATAAATTTCAGGTTGAAGTACCGTGCCCGCGTCCGTCGGAGCCCGTGTATGACTGAGCGGGGTCAAGGAGAATCGGTGATTTCAGGACCGGGGCCGGGGACGCTGTTGGAAAGGCTGACGTGGCGAGGTTTAGGGTTTTGATCGGGGCCTTCCTATTCATGATTGGCCGAATGGAGCCTAGCCCAGGGTTTTGCCCCTAAACCTCGCCACGTCACCGCTTCCAACAGCGTCTCCGGCCCCAGTCCTGAAATTACCGATTCTCCTTGACCCCGCTCTGACTGACCGTACGTGAGCCAGGCGTCTGATTTCACGCGTGCGTTCATCCATGATCCGACCTCAAATTCACTAGTGTAGCGTCGGCCTGTCGGGCGCGACGCGGAGTTAGCGGAGGCGATGCCGCGCTGCCGCGCGCGCGTTCGATTTGTTTCAACATGCAGCTGGGCCTTAGAGCACTCCCTCGCAGCAGGCGGGCAATATCAACTGTCAGATTCTCGATGCGAGATTTCATGATTGCACATATACATTATTGAAACTTCGTGGCCTAACACATTTTAGATCATTGAAACGATCAGCAACACATGTGAAAACGCTGTGAAATTTTGGGAAAATTCTGCGACTCTTCGACCAGGTTCTTGCACGTAGAAGTCAAATCAAGCAAGAGCCAGCGCACGCGGCGCTCCTGCAAGTTCTTCAATGAATTTCTACTTGTTTCGTCTTTTCCTTGAACATTAAGTCGAGAACTTCAATACAGACGGCACTACATTTGCGAAGATCACGGATCAGTAGATACTCAGTGCAACTTAAAAACGTACCACGGCTATGTGAATCAGCCTCGTTCATATTGTTGTTGTCAGGAGCCCAAGACATCCTTCGTTCTAGAAACATCGTTGCAAGCCAGTCCGTGCGCTCAGATGCCCTGAAGCACGCCAATCCAAAGCGGCACACGTCAATGATTACACTCGGTAAATAGTGAAGGTTGTTCGAAGTACGCGAGAACGATCACGTCGATGCCGATTGAACGGAGCGCTGATGAGTAGAAGAGGCATACATTTTGTCTCGACGGTGACAAATCCAGGCATGCAAAAAGCAAAGCCAGAACGTACGAACAACCATCTTCCGCCTCAAACGCATAAAGTTATGACATTTGTATGTTCTATCGAATATCTTGCAGCGGAGACCTAGGTATTGAAAAGATCGTCCTGCAGAACGTACATGCTGATTGGTCCTCCAAATCTGCTTGATCTAGCCGGGTTCGACAGGCGGCCACAGTTGGACGGGCCTCACTTAAAGAGAGAACTTGGTCAATATTGATACATATTCCAAGGGTGATGTAATTCAGAAATCCAATGGTGCACTTTCCTAGTGGACGAACACATATACACAAATGAACGAGAGTTCTGCATCGGAATGATTGAACAAACAACCAACGAAGAGTGCCTGGCAGTGATGATTCAGAAACATCACCTGTCACAGTAGACCCTCTTCTGCAAATCAGTACAAGTAAACGACATTGGCAGAAGCCTCAAGGCTTGCTACTGTCGTTGCAATTCTGCTGCACTATACTTGAGGATCCTCGTCCTGAATTTCTGCATATACCTCCCCTCTCTCAGCACAACTTTTCAAAAGCTGAAAACCTACCACTGGGAACGAAATGACGGTGATTGTCGAAGCAATAATCATCCAAAAGAACCACAGAAACACTATCAATCGAAGAGGCCGGTATTCTTCTAGATCCATCATATTTAAATCTGAGCCTCCCGGACCGTCATGTTCCTTTTCAATCTTTCCTCGCACCTTGTCTGAGATCCCCACGTGCGGATCTCCCAGCTGCTGACAGCTGTCCGGAAACCCAACGACGTAGAAATCATACTTGTTGTACACGCCCGCTTCACATCGGTGCAAGGATAACCCGGATTTTGCCAGAAATTGGTTAAGCCCAGATACATCTGGGTCAGGCAGGCTAACCGGAAGCTGGGTCTCAAGAACCAACAGCGACATGGCGTTGCAGAACGCCAAAGCGAACCCGAATACGCCAAGCAGAAAGTAAAGTGGACCATAGCCTGACGTATCCTCTGAATCAGACGCGCTATGCAGGTTCCTTTTTGCCTGCTTTCTCGTCTGCGTGGCAGACTTTTCTGCACGCCACGTGTCCCAGACACCGTACACGAAAAGACCAGCCACCCAGATCGAGACAAAGTAAGAGACCCAGGGAAGCTGGATGGCGAAGAACAGCTCCCCTTTCTTGTACTCGCGTAACGCTTTGTCCCGCATCCCGGGCCTAGCGTTACACCCCTCAGGATGCTCCACTTGGTAGAAGTCGTTACTTGGGCCGTTGAGCTCGCTGCGGCATCGGGTGACGCGCAGAGGGGGGTGCGAGGCAAACAGCGGATTCAAAAGCTCTGTGTCTCGTAGGAAATAGTTCATGTTTGCAGGATTTGGCAGGAAGAGCTTGTCTGTCGTCAGGGTGACGTCAGCAGGCTTCGTGCTTTTTCCCGGCGGCTGCAACTCCTTCTCCAACGGCACTAGGGCCTTGTCTTTTGTCGGGATGACGTCAGCAGGGTCCAGCTCCTTCACAGGCCGCGACTCCTTTTCAGCAGGTGCCTCTTTTGGAGTGAAAGGACTTTGCCCAGCTTGCGAAAATGCCCAACAGAGAACGACCAAGAGCGCAGCGCTCAGCAGAAGCGTTGCCACTTTCCACGCAGGACTGCTGTCTCGCTTGTTCCCACGCTTCGCTTTGCGCATACTGACTCTTATTCCGCAGAAAGAGAAGCGCCACGGTACTAGGCGGAAGAAGCGGCCCGACCGCAGAGACTGGCGGCTCCTCACAAGCCATGACCACTGCCACCTTCTGCTGGCCCTCTCAGAGACGGCCTCGGGGGGCAGCGGAAAGCTGAAAAAAAGCAAGCTTGAAACTTACTAGATGCGAGAAGGACAGCGTCTGAGAACGTCAAAGGATCTGGCTCCTTTCGCTTTCTGTCTCACTTTAAGTCCTCAAAGTAAAGTTGGTCGCTTGCTTTATAGGCCTGCATCTTTTGAGTCAGAATTGGGGACAAAGACTCAATTTCAAGGGCCAACATACTGGAGATTTGGCCGTGTGACTGGTGACTCGACTCAGTGTTTCACCTAGTACCGCAACAGCGGCCGTCTCGTGCGGGCTGAATATCCGGACAGTCCTTGATTGGGCCACGTGTCAGCTCACTGACAAGGAACGTGAACAAACCGCGGTCGAATCATTTTCGGGAGGCAAGATTCGCTCTCGGTCGTACTCAGGTTTACAGGTTGGTACCAAGGTTCGTCAGGGTTATGGTCAGGGCAGTGCTGAGTCGCACAACTCAAATGAGTGCTCAATCGCATAATGAGTGAGGTTCTCGGAATCCTTGGAGACTTGGGAAAAGTCTCCAGGCCTTAGCGGCGTTCGCGATTAAGAATGATGGATTCGTGTGGCCTTCCGACATTGGGGCGTTAGAGGGCGCAAGAGCTGATCACGCAATATCAGACTCGCTCGGTGCCGATGTGCATAGCAGTGCGCTTCTTAGCCGGATTGTGCAAAGGCAACGACATGCCACATGCCATGTAGTATATAACTAGAGAGTCGGATGCAACTAAACCATTGATACACGCGAAGTTAGAAAATCAGTCGGATATGACCAACACCCCAGAAATACTCTTTATGCCTTTTTGAAGCTTACAGTAGTACCTATGAGGCTTTTGTTTGAGGACACTTTAGTTCTAAGTCAACTTATTGACAGATGCAGAAAGTGTAAGTAGGCGAGTCGGACGTTTCTGGGGCCGATGACAATCAGCTGCAAATACTAATCTAAACACAAGAACTCATTCTTGGGTGGCGCAACTATGCTGCCATAGAATACTCCGCCGAAAGCGGGCTTGATGCCGGTCAGTCACCCCGCTGCTTCAAGCAAACCATATGTCGAAGCAATTTGATGCTGTTATCATTGAACAACTTCATGATTCGATGATTCCATTTGCTGACCTGACTACGCCCCACATGATGCATTTCGAAGTTCAGCCTTGCACCCATTGTGGACTCGCCACTTACAATAGTCTGCCAGTGTTCACCATTGACGAGCACATGGTTCATTCCAAGAATCAGGCCCCTTAACCGAAACAGCTCGTCTCTTGTCTCTCCAGGGTATTCTTG